AGTATGCAACCAATTCCATAAGAAGGTTTGGAATGCAAGATGCAAAAAAATTATAGAATGGGAAAGAACATAAGGAATTCAAAGAAATGATAAGATGAAAAGACCTCCAAGCCTTCCTGATCCAAAACCTAAAACTGTATCACCAGAAAGAAGAAGTTCTCCATTAATAGAAGAAGGAAGATTAAAAGATTAAGGCTTCACAGATATCTTATCAAAAGGAGTTAGATTTAAAATAAAATGGTTGGGTTTTGAGTTCTGTTAGAACTGCAAAGAGTGATCGGCAACAGTGATTTACAGACAATGATATTAAAAGTTGGAAGGATCTTCACCTGAACTTTTAATGGAATGAAAAATCACTTTCAAAATTGCACTTAAAGTAATTACTGAGACAAGTGAGCTAGTTAAAGTTTTAACTTTAGTGATTCATACTACATGTACAGCTTACAATAATTTAATAAAACATACTGTACATAACTAGCCTGACAGAGGGTTAAAAAAAAAAAAATCAATTAAAATCATTTAAGAGTAAAAATTTAAAATAAAAAAATAGTAATTAAACTCAAAAATTTTAATTAAATATAATATATTAATATATTACTTAACTTTTTAAAAAATTTTATTATTAAATACTTAATTTAATAAAATATAAACTTTTTTATTTTATTTTAAATAATATTAAAAACTTTGACATATTGATTTCTTTGTTTCTAGAAAAACTAAAAACCATATTTTTTTATTAATAAATTTAAAATTTTTTAATATAAATAACAAATAGATAAAACATAATCTAAGTTGCTTATATATACTGTATAATATATTATCTTTCAATAAATTCAATTATGTTTGCTATAAATCAAAATCAAAATTTATGTTATCAACACGTATACTATTTTGCAAGAAGGATAATTACTATAATTTCCTTATAATCATTGTATATACTTAATTATCAAATAAATAAAATAATGATTAACAATAATTATAAGTAATCAAAAAAAAAATAAAAATAAAAACTCAGATCTAACCTCATTCTATCTAGTTACTATAAATTGCACCATTTGATAAATTTAATTTTACTTTCACGAATATTAACAATTAATTCCATCTCAATTTTATAAATAACAATTTTGCATAAGATAGACCTCATTAACTAATAATATTACTCATCTACCAGCTCGCCTAATGACTCCCATTCACCTTTTAAATTTTCTTTATACAACGTAACCTTATTATCACCACAGGACACTGCCAAGACGTTACCGGATAAAGACCAGCTAACTCGCCACACAACGTCAGGGAATTTTTCATTTCGAAGAAGTTTCTTTTCCCAACCTTTTAGAGCATCCTGAGTCCAAATATATACAGTCTTATCCTATTTATAATAACAAACAGTGAACAAAATCGAATGTTATCATATATAATCATTATTTTTTATACCTGAGAACAACTAGCCAAATAATTTTTCTGAAGCCCAACATTTGGAGCCCAAGCAATATCGCGCACCCAGTCAGTGTGACCTTCCAAAGTTTCACACTCTTTCCAATCATTAGAATCCTCCCTAAAATGTACAAATAATAATAATAATAAAATTAATCTCTGCATCATCCAATATAATATATGAGCTTTCAAAAATATATCACGAGAAAGACCTGTAAGTCCAAATTTTAATAATGTTGTCACATCCACCAGAAGCAAACTTTTTGGATACATTTACATTTGGTGCACCCCCGGTAATATGGACCAGTGCACCTGGTATCGTTGCCGGAGCCCAACTAACAGAATTAACACCACTAGCATGTGCATCGAAAATTTTACAATCCCATGTTCCCTCGTCTATTAATTAAATAATCAGTTATCCAATTTTCTACATTTTACGGTCATATACTCACAATATGATTTACCTTTAAACGTAAGAACCGAAATTTTTCCATCTGAAGAGGCACACGCTAAGATTGGTCCTAATTCATGAGGTGCCCAAGATATTGAATTTACTAAAGTGTATATAAACTTATAAGTGATATATTTTACAAGTGGTTCCGTATATTTCTGACATTGTCATACCAGAAGCAGTATGCTCTGCATGTTCTTTTATTTTTTTCCAATCGGAATTTTGTTCTTTCCATATGATGACTTTACCATCATATGAACAAGAAGCCAATATGTTTCCAAATTTTGGATGAGCCCAGGCAACTTGCCATACTGGGCCGTCGTGTCTGATTTTATTGGAAGGTGAAAATTGTTAAACTAAATTATTGACAAGGCATTATTAAAACTAATATCTACCCTTTCAGAGTTCTGATATCCTTTCTAACTTCTCCGTCGATTTCGAAGATTTTCACTTGTCGATCCGAAGAACAAGTTGCTAGTTTCTTTCCATAATAATCTAGTTGAGCATCGTGCTAAATTTAAACGATCTATCATTAGATTGCATCGTGCTAGATTAAATTATAAAATTTGGATGTTGATAACTACCACCATATCCTCGTGAGAGGTCTCTAGTGCGGTTCCGTTATAAGCTGTCGACTGATCGCAAGAAGTCAATTACAAAATAAGTCATATTTAGGCTTAATATAATATAGCGAACATACCATGATTACAAGGAATAATAAAAAAAGTTTGTCAGTTATTTTAATATATTTGTTCTCGTGGTACCCCAAAAAAGGATAATCATGATTGGGTTAAGATTTTTTTTTTTTTTGTTGGCTTAGCCCAATTTTTTTATTGTCAAATCGTGTGTTGTCTTGGAATAGATCACCCAATATGTTTTTCTTCTAAGTTCGTTGAGATTGTCTCAGTTTATATATTGTAGCTTTTCCAGTTCAGATTATGCAATTATTTTATAAAAGGTCTTGGTTTTCTATTATTTTTCCATGTATTATGAGGAAATTAATTCTTTACATCTACTATAAAGAATCTGAATTGCTTTTTGTTCTTGAGTGTTATTGTGATAGTATTAATAAGTTGATCTAGAAACATGATCTTATACATTTTATTCTATAATATTGACTTAATGGATAGAATATTATCCTGAAAATTAAAAGTTTTTTTTTTATTTTTAGCTTTGAAATATAATTTATAACTTTTTGATCAAAGCTAATATTGTAGCTATCAAGTTTTCTTTGATCAGTCTATTTAATTCTATAGGATTGTCTAAGATATTTCCTAACTCCCAACATTTGATTTGACTTTATTATTATCATAGCAATACTTGAAATATTATTATTATTGAGTTAATAAAATAGCACTGATATATGATTTTTCATTTATATTTCTTAAATATTTTTGAAACTATATATTTCTTTGTAAAAATTTGAGAATCATTTTTCTTCTATAAAGTAACCTAGATTAATATTATTTTGAATTTTATATAACAGAAGAATATAAAAAATTTTCCATAGCAATGAAAAAATTATTTTTCCTTAGTCTATACTATCTTTTGCTACTATTGGATTTGAGAATCTATTGAAAAAAATAATATTATAACTTGTTTTTGAAAAGATTTATTATGAGCTTCTTAATAATTGTAAAAATTTTGATCTAATTCATAGCTTTTTCAAATATAAAAAGAGATATTGTATTATATGCTTTAACATATCTTGAAGGAGAATTCATAATTCTTTTTCTTCTCTTTGACTTTTTTACATATATTGTTTAAGAAATAAATTGGTTCTGCTATACTTTTTTATTATAAATCAGTAAAATCTGACTTCAAGAGTTGTTTTCACCCTTCCTTTATTGTTTACAAGCCTTTTTATTCAAAAACTTGACTTTCAATAATTAAGAAAAATCAAGTAATATTTTTGATACCAATGGTAAGAAAGTTCTCAAAAAAAAAAAGAATTGATTGTGAAATATCTGAAGGTCCTTTTAATCTTTGAAACAAGAGATTTACAAAGATTTTGCTATAGTTAAAAGACTTATTTTTTCTCTTTTAAACTGTTTTAACCCTCTTAGAGCTTTTATTTTCATGATTTTTGAAAAATTTTATCTACCTCAGTTTAACCCTAAATTTTTGGTAGCACAAATCCTCATCAAAAATAATTGGTTGACATGAAACACATTAGTTTTTGAAATGTAAATAAGCTTCTATTGGTCATACTTATATGTTTCAATAATATTATTGATAATTGTAAAGAATATTTAAATATTGTTTTTTTTTTTTAATGGATCTTGAATTGTTCCTTCCCTCAAATCAATTTTTCTCTTCTCTTTTTAACTTAACAATTCATTGATTTTTGAGTCAATCAATAGTGACAAACTATTGACAATAATCCTAATAGATCAGAACTATTATTAATCTATCAGGATAATATAATATTATCCTCAAAATCTGAATTAGAATACTTATATATAAAAATGAGTTAGTTACTTTGTGAAAGTCTATAAACTATTATAGATTTTATTTTAATTTCTCAATAAAGATAAGCCATTATAGCATGATTGCAGGTTAAAAAAAGTAAAAGTCACTTGTAAAATAAATAAATAATTTAGCAAATTAATAATATAGATAAATCATTAATTAATTTTTACTATATAATTCAATATAAATAAATCTCAATTAATTTTTATTATATAATTTGATATTATTTACCATATAATTTACAGTATTTTTACTATATATTTTATTAAGAATTTTTTTAAATAATCATTATTTTTACTTTGATATCTATTAAAATTCAATTTTATTAAAATTTAAATATTTGCTGTATTTTTAATTATATATATTATATTTATTATTAAAGAAATTATAGCTATATATTTATAAAAAAACTCTTTCCGCTGATCCCTTGACCACATACAAAAAGATGTTTGCAAGAAATTTTTTATTTCTTTGCTAATAAAGTCTTAACACTA